AAAAAAAAATAGCTTGGCCTTGAAAGAAGACAGAGCCTTATGAGTCCTACAAAAATAAGATGACATAGATGCTGTTTACAGGACAGGGCCCGCCAGTCTTATCTGTATCAGAACAAGAAGTTATAGCAGCAGGGAGGAAGGGGTGTGGAGGGGAGTGCGGGTTCAGTGCCTCTTCGTAGGGAGTTCCAGGCCAGCCAGAACCACATAGCAAGAGCCTGTCCTTGTTATTAAAACAAATAAACATAAAGCGGTAAAAATTTTAGAGATTGTGTTTACCAAAGCAAACAGCTCTTTTCAAAAACTTATCTTTCAAGGGGCTGGGGAGATGGCTCAGTAGAATAAGTGCTTCCCTGGCAAGCGCAAGGACCTGAGTTCAATCCCCAGTTCCACACACACATACACACACAAAAATTATCTTTCGTGGTGCAGGCTTGTAATCCCAGCCCTCAGAAGGTTGAGGAAGGAGGGTCATTGCTACTTCTAGAACAGCCTGGGCTACAAAGTGAGCTCAAGGCCAGCCTGAAACAGCCAGACCTGTCTCAAACAAAATAAAACAACCCAAAACTTTCTTTGGCCTCTTTCTTTCTTTGGCTCTGTCTTCTTTCTTTCTTTCTTTCTTTCTTTCTTTCTTTCTTTCTTTCTTTCTTTCTTTCTTTTTTCTCTTTTCTTTTTAGAATCAAAATCAGGGGCAGTTTCCTCAGTTGTTATTTTTAAGTCATGGTCTCACAAGGTAGCCTAATTGCGGTTTTCCTGCCTCAGCATCCCAGAACGCTGGGGTGACACTTGGCTCAGCAGTCCCTGGTGCACAGAGCGGCTCTGGGAAAGGAACCCTCCTCCCAGTCTCGCTTTTGCACTCTGGTCACAGGGCGGAGGCCAAGGGCACTGCTGGGTGGGAGCAGCGAACCTGCCCCAACCGGGATGTGGCAGCTTTGCAAGCTCCAGCGCTGGGTGGGGCCCGGGACCTTTGCAAGGAAGTTCCGGGAGGGGCGGAGCTTGTTCTGTAGACCAATCGTGAGCTAGATGCCAACCTGCAAACCAATCTTGAGGCAGATGCCAAAACTGGCGCGGAAAACGAAAAGAAGAGACCGCAGCCGGTATCGGTCGGGAGCAGCCCATCACCCGAGCCTGGCTTCTTCCATGTGGGGGGGACGATGGCGCCTCACACCCTGCCATTCTTTTTTGGTACTAGAGATTGAATTCCAGGCCTTTGCATGGGCTACGTCCCCAGCTCCTTAAATTTTTTCTTTTCTTTTCTTTCTTTCTTTTTTTTTTTTTTAAATTTTGAGACAGGGTCTCCCTAAGCCACTAAATTGGCCAGGCTGGGCTTGAATTTGCAGTCTTACTGCCTCAGCCCTCCAGAGTGCTGGGATTACAGATCTACGCCACTAGGCCCGGCTCCCTGTCTCCCAAAGTTGAAGTTTTTACGGTGCATATGTGTTGCTTTAGTAGTTGGCTACCTCACAGAGTTACAGTACGGCTGGGGCTACGCAGTGCAACCCGAAGCAGCACTCTGGGGACTGATGATGGGAAACCGAATGTGCATTGCTGAGTGCGTCAGATCTGATAATGGCTTTGTGTGCTGTCGAGTTATCAGACTAGCCATTCTCTGGGCTTGGGTGCTGAAGTGCGCAAGGGACCGACCACGTCTGCCAGTTGCTTTAAGCGAATGTTGGCCGAAGGCGCAGTCGTCTGGGGTGGGGGGAGAGACTTTGAACCCAGGGCCGCGGCAGGGAGCGGGGCCGAGGTCTCTCCCTCCCCACCCCCGACTTATCCGGCAGGGCCTGGTGCTAGCTGTGTAGGATCTTCCCAGGTTAATCATTCTCCCCTCGATCTGAACGTTTCTTTCTCATTTATTTCCGGCATTCTGCCCCCTCAGGGCAAATGTGGCCAAAAATCGGGGAGCCAGGTCCAGACCGAAACTGTTCTGCGTCCCTGCTCCGCCAGTGCGTCTGAGAGCCCCCTCCGGACCACGCTGACGCCCAGGGTGTCGGAGGAGCTTGTGTCCCTCTAAACTCTCCCACTTCAGCTCAGTTTCCAGAGGACAGAGGTCTGACGAGAGACGACAGGGCAGAAATGGGCACCAGGGCCGACGTAGCTTGTGCCTGTGTCGTTTAGCTCGAAGTTTCCGGGGAGCCGCATCCTCAGCACTCTCGCACTTTATTTACCTCACACGGCAGGTCACCAGTGCGGACCCAGACCCATAAGAAATCAGGTCACCCGTCCACAGGCGGCACCCCGGGCCTCAGCGCGAGGCCCACGCCTGGGACCTTTGCACCCCGCCCGGGGGCAACATCTGGGCGGCGGCAGACTCACCTCCCCCACTGCCAGGCCCCCGCCCCCGCCCCGCGGGCGCCCTCCGCCCCGGGGGCCCTTCCCGAGCTGCGGGCGGGGGCGCTGCCCAGCTCTCCCGCCGCCCCGTCGCAGGCCCTTTGTGCCGGACCCCAGGGCTGCGGCTGCCTCACTCCAGGGTCTGGCGAGCACGCCCCCTCCGGCTTCGCGCTGACACGTGACCCGGATCGACCAATAGGAAGCGCCGCTCGCCGGCCCTGGCGGGGCATTTAAATTGATCGGTTCGCGCGCGCGGGCTGCTCAATTACTGCGTTTTCTCTCTCACAGCTGAGTACCATGCTCTCGGTCCGCACTCCGCTCGTCACCCTGCCCAGCCCACGGCAGTCACAGCTGTCGCCGCTGAGGGGACTCAGCCTAGCCGACAAGGAAAACACGCCTCCGTCCCTCAGCGGGACCCGCGTTCTGGCCAGCAAGACCGCGCGGAGGATCTTCCAGGAGCCGACCGAGCCGCAGCAGAGGAGTAAGAGCCTCGTCCCCAGCGCGGAGGAGGAACCGCTGCTGAGAGAGAACCCTCGGCGCTTTGTGGTCTTCCCCATCGAGTACC